TGTTTTTGTGAGGAAGATTAGCCCTGAGCTAGCATCCGATGCCAATCTTCTTCTTTTTGCTGAGGAAGATTAGCCCTGGGCTAACACCCATGCCCATCTTCCTCTACTTTATATGGGATGCCGCCACAGCAAGGCTTGACAAGCGGCGCATCAGTGTGCGCCCGAGACCCGAACCTGTGAACCCTGGGCCACCAAAGCAGAGTGCACGCACTTAACCGCTAAGCCACTGGGCAGGCCCCAGAGAATGCTTTGGTTTTAAATAAGATTTTATTCAGTGTAATGGAAAAAATACAAGAAAATGTAGAAAGTACACAAACGTTGAATAAAGATTTCCATGTTTAAAAGTTTTTTTCTTCTTAAGTATGTTGAGCATCTAGAATCAAAAATATATTGTCTTCCTCCTTTCTAGCTTAGCAAGAACACCATTACACTTTCTGGACCCTGTGCCTGTTCTCATCAAAATATTTTTAAAGGGCACACACACTCACACACCACACAAAAGTAAACATCTTTTCCAAGAAGCATGTTGTATCAGATTGTTAGGTATATGTTTGTTTCATCAGTCGTTTTTTAATGTCACCTAAAATCCAGTGTCTGAATGACAGAGGCAAGAAAGAGCATTTAGGTTCAAGTCACAATGGTGACACCAAGGTAGGAAAATGTAATTTTTATATTTCCAGATATTTTATTTTGAAACTAGAATTATAATGGGGAAGAAAAAATTATTGACAATTATTGAAGGAAATACTCTTGTATAGCTTCAAATACATTTTCAGTTCTTCTCCAGAGAATGTTGCCATTTGGTAACAATGGAGGACAGCCCTTACGAAAAGGGGATTTCAGGGTAGAAAGATGGGGACTTATTTCCAAGTTTGAAGTTTATTTTTTTAATAAACTTCATTTTACATCAGTTTTAGATTTATTTTTAAGAGTGCAAAGATAATACACTGAGTTCCCATATAACCCCATACACAGTTTTCCCTATTATACATCTTACATTAGTATATTTATCACAATTGATAACCAATACTGATACATTATTAACCAAAGTCTAGATTTTATTCAGATTTCCTTAGATTTTTCCTAATGTCCTTCTTCTGTTCTAGGATACTACATTACTTTTAATCATCATGTGTTCTTAGGCTTCTCTTGACTGTGACAGGTTAAGACTCTTTGTTTATGCTGACCGTGAGAGTTTTGAGGAATACTGGTCAGGTATTTTGTTGAATGTCCCTCAATTGAGATTTATCTGATGTTTTTTCTCTTGGTTAGACTGGGGTTATGGGTTTTGGGGAGGAAGATCACAAAGATTCCATTTTCATCACATCATACCAAAGGTACATACTATCAACACGACTCATCCCTTTTGATGTTAACTTTGATCTCCTTGCTAAGGGGTTTGTCAGGTTTCTCCTGACAACTGGACAACTGACAACAGGTTTCTCCTGACAACTGTTTGTCAGCTTTCTCCAATGTAAAGTTACTTGGTTTTCCCTCTTTGGAAGGAAGTCACTATGTGCAGTCCATACTTAAGGAGTGAGGAGTTTGGCTCCACCTCCTTGACGACAGACTATCTACATAACTTGGACTTCTTTTACACCATGGATTTGTCCATTCTCCTCCCTTTCTTTATTTATTCAATCATTTATTTATATCAGTATGGACTCATGGATATTTATTTTATGCTTTGGGTTATCATGCAAAACTATTTTCTTCATTTTCTCGCTCAGCTTTGGCCATTAGGAGTTCTTTCAGATGGCTCCTTGGACCTTTGACATACACCCACAATTGCAGGTTGTTGGTGCTGTTGTTTGAGCATTTCCTTATTTTCAGGCACTACAAGATGCTCCAGGCTCATTTTGTACACTTCCTGCCCCAGTCCTAGCCATTTCTCCAAGAAGCCCTGGTTCCGTTATTGTAGAATGGTATTAGAAACCAAGATCCAGGCCCTAGGGTGTGCTCACTACTTCTAAACCTTCTCAGCTGATAAGTAAGGAAATATACATGTTTATGCTAAGCCTTGGAAACACTCATATCTATAATTATTTCTATACGCAACTATCTATATCTATATTAAGCTAAACATGAGTTCATAGTGATGTCTCCAACTCTAATCCACTACCACATGGATCATCCTAGCCTCTTTCTCTTGCTTATGTGTAACCTCCTACTTCAACAGTAAGAAACCTGGCTCCCACAATCTGCCATCCATTCACTTAATTGCTCAATTCTAGTATACATGTATAGTGGTTCCAGAATTGTTAACCTATACCCCCATGGGAAACAAGCTTATCAACTACAGTACAGTATTTATGTACAGTTCTTTTTGCCTTTAGTCTTACAGCCTCCACTCATTTCCAAAGTTACTTAGGTCAGCACCTTTTCCCTGACCCTTTCAAGGAGGTTGTTTCATACATTCTTAACACAGCTGGATTGCTTTGTCACACTCTGCATTCCATCCTGGGATCCTCTGACCTCCTAAAATGATTATTTATCTATATATTATCAAACAAAATAACTTAAGTTTTATTCTCGACAAGGGGTAGAGTGAGGGTTGGAAGGGGAGAAGTCACTGATGGAACTTGAAAGGAAAGGTACCAATTTAGAGATTCTCTTAAGTTTCTAATATTTGCAAAAATAGAAATTTATTGAAAGCTAATATAATTCATTTTTTTAAATGTATTTGAAATCTTTGCATACAATAAGGGACATGGTAAAGATGAAAAGTAAGAAAAGCAGCTACCTTCCACAACTGAGACACGGGTTTTTCTAAGAGCTTCCAATAACTTCATTTAATTTTCCTACTTATAAAATAACAATAAAAAGTTTCTCATCCAGGACTAAGACTTTATGATAGGTATACCCATAGTATTTTGCCATTCAAGGGTAAAAATATAACAACTATTTTAGTTTTAATAAATGTAGACTCTATGCCTTGGAGGAAATAATAACCCAAATATATTTTTCATACAATTGTGAAATTTTATATTCTCACACAATTACATTCAAAAAGCACTGTAACCCTGATGATTACTATTCACTCATATCACTAAGGAAATATTTCTGTCTAGCAATCTGGGATCCTTGGGCATTTTAAAAGCCTTAAAGTATCCAAACAGTTATCAGTATACACCTAAATTTACTCTTAAGCACACAGGAGAGTTTACAGTAATTTGGCGGCCATTCATGGAAGATTATCTTGACTGTAATAAAATTCCCCCTAAAAAAAGAAAAAAAGGGAAAGAAATCTTTTGAGGATTTCTTTTTAAAACAACATTTATTATCCTTGTAAGACTGCATAAATGCCATTTATTTACTAACATATAACCGCAAACTTCCAAGGACACATTTTAAACTCCTGCCGTGAACATGCATTTTATTGAGTTATCAGCAAAGGAGATACCAAGAGTAAATTCACCAAGTCAACCTTTGCAGGAGCAAGATGTGCCCAAGGACCTCTTACGTTTCTTTACAGAAATCAGCATTTATCTATGACTCATTCCTACTCAACACTTTACATGTAATGTAATTCACAAGTCTAATCTTTCTTTGTAGTAAGCACTGAGAAGAAAGCCACGTTTGAGGCCATTAATGAGTATTTCTTCCAAACACTGTCAATAGTTTCTTCTTCTCCATTATTCTAATTCAAAAGTAAAATATCTGAGAGTATAAAAACTATGACTTAAATATTCAGAGACAGTATATTGTTAAATATTACTGAAAACCCCATCTTTAATAATTTCAAAAAATTCTGAAGACACAATAAGAACACCTGTGTCTTTCCCTCATGGTCTCCCAAGAATATACAATAAATAAATTAATCACCACACTTTTGTACTGACATAAGTTTGTACCAATCCTGCATTTTCCCAAAGGCTTCCTCAGGTTCTAGAAGAAATAAAACAGGAAGTGAACTCATTCCGAGCAGGGCTGGAGACCAGAGCAGGGGGTAAGATTAGAGGCAAAGAATGGGATAATTAGAGCTCCAAGTCGAAGTGATGCTTTAAAAAAAATGTAAAATGAGCTTTGGGGGGGTGGGTTGGGGATACCCCTGCCTCCATTAAGGGAGTCCAATGCTATAAAAGAAGGCGGTCAAAACAAGCTCACAGAGATCAGCTATCCTCCAGCCAAGCTCCGCCATCATTACCATATTGATTTGTAGTACATTAGCACAAAGAAATAGGTAAAATAATGAGGAATCGATAAAGTTTGATTTAAAAATTCACAAATTCTAAAAAGCCTGAACAACTGTGGGAGAAAGGGCAAGAAGAAAAGAATGATTGGCTGCCTGGAAATCGCCACCTCCTCAATTTCTTCTCCCCACACTAAAACCCAGGAGTCTCCCTTGTGTCAAATACAAAGGATCACAGCAAAGAAGCAACTGTGGACTCAAGAGGACTGTCTGTCACACTCCTCAGAAACAGGTCTTCCCAACACTTTCAGGGTTCACATTACAATGACAACTGACAAAGTCCAGGAGGCAGAGCTGCCAAGAGACAGGTACAGTAAGGAAGTCACGGAGCAGAGCCAGCTTTATTTGGAAGCACTTCGCCAGGCTTCACACCCACCCCCAACTTAGCAGCAGTTTACTCCCTCAGGGGGAGTCTGAGGGAGCTTTGAGAAAGTATTCACTCAGGGACACACATTGCTCCCATCTACAGCGCTGGAAGGTGCTAGCAGAGATCTCAACCGAGAGCTGGGCTCAGGATTTAATCATTAGGCTTGCCTTTCAATCTCCTAACTCAGAAATACAGGGTCTTAAGAAAGTAATCTTTTCATCCTGAATTAAGGGAAATAATCCTATTAAGAGTTCAGTACACCTAGGAATCTACCTGCTTCACTGTGGGTCTAGGGATTTGAGGCTAGATGGGTAATACCACAGAATAAAGGGGAGCATCTTTGCAGAGTTGGTCCCCTGTCTGAGAGCATCCCTGCAAAGGCTCATCTCCCAGCATGCAAGACTGACAGGCAGAGGGCTAAAGAGGGCCGAGATAACCTACCTGCCACTCTGGTCTGAGGTCCATGTAACTGATCGCCCCTGGGGTTTGGTTCTGTACCGTATCCTTATGGCGTGAGGAAAGTCAGTAGCTGTCTGAGCCCCTGTCTTCCTGATCTGTAAGCTCCAAGTGTCAGTGTCAAACAGGAGTTCCCCACAGCCAGGAGCCTGGCTGCAGCGAGCATAATAGTCTAACTGCTCCCTCCAACGATCCGCAGGCAGAGTCACAAGTTCATGTATAATCTGATTCCTGAGCTCCTCAGAAACAACCGTGAGCTTGGGAGACTTTGTAAATTTTTCAATACCTGGCACAGCAGCAACATCCACCTCCTCAACCTTTAACACAGATAAATCACAGCAGTCCAACACTAGCAAAAAATCCTCACTCTCATGATTCCCTGTGTCACAGCAGTACTTTGAGCTAGAAATCCCAGAAGCCTGTTCCCGGTTGTCATGGTTACCATCTTTACCAGAAGTATCTTTTTCACCTTTGCCACAGACTGTAAAATCATTATATCCCATTTTAGATGAGAAGGTCCTTGTATTTGTCACAGGAATATGGCAGGCTTCAGGCATCCTAAACTTGCAGGCTTCATCTGACTCTGATTGGCAGGTTTCCTCGGTGGAACTACTCTGTTTCTTGAATCTGCTTCCAGACTCAAAGAAAAGCACAATGGTGCCCTCAATGATTTGACTTTTGAAATCCACATCTAAATCCAGTACATAGTGCTTCACAAGTGTGTGGCTGGTATTGGCCATGAGAGGCAGGTCATCTTGGGAAGGGTCCAGCTTTATGTCCATGGTGTAGGTTGTTGTTCAAGAGCTTTGTTAAAATCTCAGAAGGGGCTTCCCATCTGCCTTAATCTTCTGAAATCATAAATGGCTGCTTATCAAAAACCACCTGGTGTCACAAATTATGGTTCCACAACTTTTAGTCCCCTGGCAAAGAAGAAAAACACAATTAGACAAAATTCCAAATAAGATTCTAAATGCTCCTGCAAGTTGACTACCTCCTTAAATAATCCCCCACTGTGGTGGAAGCTCATGGCTACAAGGCAGACTAATCTTTTTGACTGACATCAAAGAAAGCTGCATTAGGAGTTTCTAAAAATATTTCAATTACCAGTGGAATGAAAGGGGCCTCCACAAAGCCAGAAGAATCTTGTTCCTAACTAGAACAGTCCTTGTTTTGGAAAAGAACTATCATTATGCAAAAGCGTAACAGCATCACTGTGCCTCTTGTTTTAAAAGATACTAAATGTATCATTTCTAATTTTGTGCATCAAAAGATAAGTGACTGTTTCTCTACTGTGATTCTAAGTAACAAATGTGAATGAAGGCTAAATGGCCTCATACGTTTTATTCTTTGAGAGTAATAATTTAATACATACAATGTAACTCCAGGGATTAATGTACTTTTCACATTAGGACTGCTCTCATATCAGCACTTCCAGTAAATTACAGGAAAATGAGCCAATTTACCAGGAGTGCATTCTAAGTATTCCTTTGAGATTGTTCATGGAGATTTTTCAAATTTATAGTTAAATACTCAAGGTATATCATTACATCTTAATAGCTGAAAATCCATTAACATTCTGGATAATAGCCTTCTTGTGGCAAACAAAAAGGTCTTCTCATTGGGGAAAAAAAAAAAAAAGTATGCAAATACCCATAAAAGAAAGGAGAGAAATTAAAACATAGAAACAGATGTTGTAATAAAATGCCCAAGTTCTTCATAAAAGTTCTGAATCAAATGTATTCTTAATTTATAATAGCAACCCAGCTAAAAGAAAAATTATTTGAAATTATTTCAGTCCCTGCTGTGTATCTCACTTCTTTCAGAGTATACTCATTTTTTTTTTTCTGTATGACTTGCTTTTATTTTTTTATTTTTTATTTTTTTAATTTTTTGTTTATTGCAGTAACATTGGTTTATAACATTGCAAAAATTTCAGGTGTACATCATTGTACTTCTATTTCTGCATGGATACTCATTTTTTATTATTATTCTTTTACCAAAAATGAAAAAGAAATGACAAGAGAAAAGAAAGAAACACTCTGACAGAGTAGATACGTTAAAAATAATTTTTCTTTTTCTAAATATCAGGAGGTATTCTTTTATCAACTACAAAACACTACTTGCTTGACTTTTCAAGTAAAATTGAGCCCTCCATTTTTATTCTGTTTAACTCCTCCTCACTTCCCTTCCTGCTTTATCGGCCTGTCTACTAGACTCTTTTTTCCCTTCCTTCTGGAATCTCATTCCAGCAATCAAACCTATTGAATTTTCATTTTCTACTTCTCCACAGGCTATTTCCTCATCAAAATCTCACCTAGCCTAAAAAAAAATCTGCCTTCCTGCAGCCTTGTACAATCTGGTTTCATGCTATTTTCCTGTCGTGGAGACCACACTCCCTTTGCATCCCTGTCCTCTAGCCAAAGGGCCTGCTCAACACACTGTTCCCTGAAGATGACCTGACACCATGCCTCCTTGTTTTTTGGACTAAGCCGTGTGCCATACCTGGAGTGCTCCTGGCTCCCACCTCCCATATCTACCTGCCAAATTCTACTTTCCCTCTACACCCAGCTCAAATGCAATCATCTTCCCAAATCCTTCCCTGCTCCCCCCTCCCTCCACCACCAAACTGCATGTGGTAATATATATTTTGACTTTAAGAGTAATAGGAATTGAGAGAAATCAGGGATACAAAGAACAGTTTGAGATTACTGTATGGAGAAGCTGGTACTCCTATTGGTCCTAGAAAAGTCAATGGGCAAAGGGAATAAGCCAGGGTATTTTCTTTTCTGCATGACAGCGACTGAACTTGTCAGGTAATGAAAAATAACCTTCAATAAAGCCATTGGCTATATCTATGCAATGAGAAACAACAGATGTTAAAAATTCATCCTGCTGGTATCTGGGCTGCTAACATGCAGTATTTCATTGACTGGGCTCTTGAGAAAAACTTGTTTAACAAAAAAACCCTGAATACACACACACACACACACACACACACACACACACACACACATACACACACACACACAGACAAGAGGAAAATGTGAATTAACTGAGACAAGGGTTAACTTAGTGGCTGTCAAAACTATCATATTTGAAGAAGAATAGTTTAGCATTTGTAATGATATAGAAATAAACATTCATTGTCTAACCCTAATATATTCTTTCATTTACTTGTGAAAATTAATGTAACTTAAGAATAAAATATATTCTGTACAGCAGTTTTCACCACTTCTGTCCCTGGCGGCAGAGAACAGGCTGCCTTAGAGCCCTATCCATCCAAGCCTGTTAAGGTCACGCTGCTTGTCCCTAACTGGCAATCCTTTAGTCCTCTTCAGTGGATTCTTGAGTATATGCCCCATAGAGGCAATTCTAAATCTTTTCTTCTTTTAACTTTCCAATTTCATGCCTGCTGACTCACTCTCAGCTGATTATTTGGCCTCCTACTGAGATGATTTTGAATCTCTGAAACTCCATCATACCTCAAGGATCTCTAGTTCTTCACAACTACTGCCTTCTGATTCAGAGGAAACAATATCCTTTCTCACCAAAGCTAATTCCTTCCCCCTGCATCTCAGCTTTTGGGGTCTGAGAAAGCCAAATAAATAGCACTCTTCTTGCCTATGCAATTTCTGAACACACTGAGAAATAAGATGAGGATATGGCAGACACAGACCAAAATATCAACATTATTACTGATGAAGGCTAAACTGCAGAATATGGCTTAGTGTGGGAGCCATAGTGTGGGAACCAAAGGTACCTGCAAAATGAATCCCATAATTCAACAGATTTACCCATAGGTCACAGGCAATGCCAAATCAGGTCAAAGCTCCCATAAAAGGAGATATCCTCCCCAGGTAAAACTTAGGGCCTGGAGAAGGAGAACAGCCCTCTGTGGTCAGAATTGCTGCCCAAAAGCAAAAGGGAGGAGCTGAGCTGAAGAGAGCACACCGAGTTTCTTCTTCCCAAATTTACCAGAATAAATCACTCCACCTCCCTTAGGGTAGAAGAAGTAAGGTGACCAGGAATGTTACAGTAATTAAGCTCCATCCACAAGAAAGGAAACATCAGAAACGGGAAAGAAGCATTCCCCCCAATAGCATCCCCTCCCACTAATTTGGAATCTTGTTTCATTTTAACATTTTTCTCTTGCCAACATATTCTCCCTCTCAATACCTCCATCCTATTCCCAATGTTTCAAACACCCCTAGGCTGCCGTCTTTAAAAACAAACCTCACTATATATCAAATCTTTACGTTGTACACCTTAAACTAATAAATGCTGTTATGTCAATTATATCTCAGTAAAACTGGAAAAAAATTAAAAATAAAAACAAACAAAAAATACATTTGGCCCTGTTGCCTATTTTTAACTAGTCTTTATTTTATTGAATTTTGGAGCTGAAAAATTCCTTAAGGCTCACTTAGTCCACTTCTCTGGTTTTACAAATGAAGACAATGAGGCCTAGACAGGTAAAGAAATTTGCCCACGGTCCCCCATTCCTGGTGCTTTCCCTTGGACTTCTCATCCTCCAGCTCTCAAGGCCATTTCCTTCATATTGTCCAAGTCATAAATCAAATGCTACCACCTAAGCCTTTCTTCCATATCCCCATTCTACCTTTTTTATCTCCTTCAAGTTGTGTGGACTAGAATCAATTTGTATTGTAATAGCTTTGGGGGAAAAAAGAGAATTTTTAAGCCAGTCTCAGAAGATTCACAAGATCACCATCACCTTTGCACAGTTTCCAACCTAAGTTATGCATAATGTGTAAGTCTATCATAACTTGTGCTTATTACACCTATTTCCCACTTGCCTTAGATTCTTCAATGACCTAAATCTCCTTTCTCTGCAAGTACAATAACTCTCACTGATGTCAATCATGGTCACAGTCCCATGTATAGGGGAAGAACTCAAGTGACTGTGGTTGCAAACTCGTGTATGTGGCTACCTTGAAAGGCCTCTCTCAGCAAATAGTAACCATATTTCTAAGCAGTCTGTTGACTTCAGCAATTTTTCTATTATTGTGTTCCAATTTAAAATGCCAACCCATCTCACTGAAGCATTTTTATGTTCTCTGTCATAAGCCATAACATATAAAATTCTCCTCTTTATCAAACCCAATGGTTAGTTTCCAGTGGCTAACCACTGCTGCCTCTAAAATAAGTATACAATGTACTGTGTATTTTAACTGCTTAATGATTGGCTCAGCAACACCATTAATGGCTTTTAAAGGATTAATGTACAGCAATATTTTTCTTAAGAAAGGCAGGGGGTGGGGGACGATCAAATACTAAACAGAGCTATGGCACAGCAAAGAAACTGCCCTGCCACTTTCAATCACCCAGACAGAAATACACACATTTACAAACGTGTGAAACAGCCTCTGTAGAGCCACGGAAAATAATTTCACTCTCCTTTCAAGCTACAGAGCCACGCATAACACTCTCATGGCTCTTAACTTATCCTGCCTCGTTTTATAGTTACCTCCATCTTCCAACAGTTATAAACAATTTGGGACTCCTGATTCATCTTTGTATTCATGACCATGTTATGTACAGTACCTTGTACATAGTAGTTTCTCAATTAATATCTGTGGAATTGATATCTGAGGGTTGTGATTTCAACATCTAATTATTCACGGAACAGGGATTCTAGCTTGAATAGGTTCTAGTAGAAAGTTATTACTTAACAAACATCTTCCTCCAAGAGAGCTCATTTTCTCTTCTCAGGATACACTTCTTTAGGCCATATCTCTTTTCTTGTAAGCAACTCAGGGGAAAAGGAGAAATTTATGCATGTACGCTTATTATATAGTATTGAGCACACTATGAGTAGTTACAAAATATTTAATTCTATAGATTACTTGTTGAGAAGGAGACAGCTTTCTGCTATTCCAAATGTGTTCTTTCTTTAGGATAC